AATGTTGACAAACATAATTACGATGATGTAGGAAAAACACCCACAGCCACGAATCCTACATCTGTGCACCACAAATACTGGTTTATTTTCCTGTGACGAACACACTCTCATATCATATCACAGACACACACACACAAATACACAAACACAGTAGTGACATTAATGCACACACACTAAACTGCTAAAAGGACTCCCTCCTCACTTAGGCAGCCATGTGGTCACGCATGAACATTTTACCTTATGAAAGTAAAAGTACAGTATGCGAACATGCACATATTCCCTACAGTAGGTTTTCTCACAGGCATGTCAGCTCCTCTTTCAAGCAAAGCTGTCATTTCACAGGCATGAACAAATTCATGAGTTAAATTCACACACACGTTCTCTGACAGCTCAGTTTTACACTGTGCTGGGGTTTTCTTTCTCCGCTTTCACTGCAGCGCAAGCATGCCATCCTGCTTTTTGCACCGCGTAGGTGGCAGGAGCTTCTTCCAGTTTTTGCGGTGGTGGAGCTACGCTGGAACAGCCACCCTTTGACTCCACTTATTTGTCGGTCTCTCGCTTGTACTCTGTTCATGCCGCTTGCTTCAAACTAGGTCACCAAACTCGGGGTAAAGCAATGACATGCTCATGCATCTGTCACTGGATATCAGTGGTATCATTGTTATTAGGCAAGCAGACTGCCTCAGGACAGTTGTAAATCATTCTTTGTACGGAGATGTCCTAATTTGTGAATTTACCAATCAGAACATTGGATTAAAAGTCTATAAAACCAATAAATGTGCACTAGCCAAATACATTTTCTGTAAATTTGGAACTTAGTAGTCATTTCAAGGTTAAAGATAATACCACCAAGAGCTTAATCAAATGAAACCTTCTTGGGTCACTTAGGTGAATCTTCTCTTTAATCATATTTGTGGATAAGAAATTTCTTCATCAGAGGACTCAAAGGATTTATTATTAAGAATTCTTCGTATTGTTTCCTGCTTTTAACACATCAACTCTGAGGACAAAATGTTCACTTGCTCCCTATCCCATCCAATAACAGGTGTGATGGTGACGAGATAATCAGTTGTATTCATTGTCACTGTCAGTGGTCATAATGTTAAGTCTGATTGCTATATTTTACCCCTTTAGAAAGGAACTCATAGAAATACATATGCAGCAGGATCAGTCACAAAACTCTCTGAGTTCTTAGCTCTTACTTGTCACTGTGTGCATGCAGAACATGTAATTAAATCAGGTCCTTTGTCTTGATTGAGCCTACAGACTGCAGCCTCAGAAAACAACGAGTCTAATGATTTGCTGCTGTCTTCAACAGTTTTGGTAGACTTGTGTCCACTGCAGCCTCAACCTTGATGTTCTAGACTGACAGGACTGGAACCTAACATGGTCTTTCCCCCTTAGGGTTGGAGGAGCCATAAAGACTTGGTTGTCAGTCCGCAGGGCAAATGATTTATCCTTTTTGTCAAAACCGCTGGCATCTCACAGGTGTCTTTTGGCGTGGGTGGCATGATGTGCCAGGTCATGACAATAGTATGATCTGAGCCTCAATATGAGAGCTTTTAAAGGACCACTTGAAATGCCCTTAGTGAGTGTCATGTTACATGTTGAAGGTTAGTGTAGTGAATGGGTGCATTTTAACCCAGAGCACAGTCTTTTCCTAAACCAAAGTGTTTTTGGAGCCTAAACTCAGCCAGTGATTGAAACTGAAAGTAAAGAGCCAGTGCTGGTGACACCAATTAAAGAGTTAAAACAAGGTGTTAGTGAGACACAGTCATGTCTTCTGGTTGACAAACCTCTTCCTCCAACGCCAACTTTGCAAGCCTCACATATGAACCATTGTCCCTAAAGTACTTTCTTTCAATATTGCTATTAAAATACTATTGCTATTATAACACAATTTTACAGTAACTTTCCAGTTAGCTTGGAGCGGCTGCACATTCTCCTCCTAACCTTTTTATCGACAAGTTATTTCCATTTGCAAATTGTTATCACCAGCAGATTTTTTGCACCTTTCTGCATAAACTCTAGAGGTTGTATATAACACTCTAGGAAGGTCAGGAGTGTTGAAATCACTCAGACCAGCCTGTCTGACACTAGCAGTCATGCCTCGGTCAAAGTCACCGAGGTTGTGATCACGGGGTGAGGCTTATTTGGAGCTCTACAAATAAAGCAAATTTGAACTGACATTTTTTGGCAAATTCGGGTCAAAAGAGTTATGCATCTGTAGCTTTTATGACCTCAATCTTAGTGTATTGTGGCATTATGGTCCTCTACAGTCTCTGAATTGGCTTTGACACATGGTCAAACATTTGATAATGGTATCAATAATCCATCTTCTTCAGACCTTTGGGAACTGGGAGCAAAGTGACATGGCATTGAAATCCAGTGAAAGGATAGTAGGAAGCATATAGAGTAGATCCCCTTTTGCGTACAAAAGTAAACCCCCAGTGATGGAAATTCACCAAGGAAAAATTGCAGTTGTTGTCTTTTTACAGTTCCAAACCCTCTCAACTGTTTTACTTGACACCTTCCAGCAAAGCAGTTGAAGCACTTTACCAGAGGCTTGCTGTAACACACAACTTTTTTTCCTGACTAACCACTAAGCAACACTCTTAAAGACTTTCACACAAAAAGACATCACAGTAGCACTTGACCAAAACGTTATTTATTAATATAAGCAATGTACCACGCACTAGAAAAAAGATATCTATTTCACTCCAGAGTCAGTTTTCATAAAATATTTCCCCTTGGAGTGCTGATCCAAGAGCAGAGTGGCTTTTTAGAAAATCCTACAGCCCCGCCCCACTCCTCAGAGATCTCACTGACAATCACAACAAACTTGGTGAGCAGGGCAAAAAGGGAAGTGATTTCTTTGACACCTTTTCTGTGCCAATGACTCTCCACTTTTCACACGAGCTGGGAAATTTTAATGGGGGTGATGAGGTCTCTGGGAGAGGCTCATGAGCGACTTTATTATGCTCGCCAGTGCTGATCCTGGGTTAGTACTCTGATTGCAAAGAGGCTTTATAAACACAGGTCCCAGTCAACTGAAACACACAGGTGGTTTTTGTTAAGACGTAGAAAATAGTGATATTTGATTTTATTGAAGTATCTACATGGACTAAGACACTTATAAAGTGTAGTAGAAATATCAGAGGTGAGGAGAGTTTACTGCGGTGTTGCCCAAACTCTGGTCAATTCAGTCAGTTCTTACACAGTTAGTTACATAAATTGTTGTCTGTGAAGGTTCTCAGTCATGCAGGTCATCGTAGTCAAAGGAGCTTCTAAGGTTAAATGGTGGGAAATCCCAGATTTAAGCCCAGTGGGAGTGTCCACCCAAGAGGGTCCATGTGCCTCTTGGGGGGACACTCCCATTGGGCTTAAATCTGGGATTTTCCACCACCATTTGACTTTAGAACTGAAGAAGTTTCTCGGATGAGAGGTGAAACGACTTCAAGCTACTTAAAGAAGTCCAGACGCTTTTCTTTCCAAGCTCCTCAGACTACATAGATCCATCAACTACTAATGCTGTGTCACCATTTCTTTTGAGCTAATGTATTAACCACTTAATACTGACCTGGTTACCTGTGAGCCTTAGGGGTAGGGATAATGTCCACCCCCTTGTATGCTCTAGTTCTGAAAAATGTACCTATTTAGTGTGCTGCTACAGGAAAATGTAACTATAACCCTAACCCTAGACCATTTGATGGTAAATGGTAGTTCCAATAGGAAAAAATTCTATGGAAATTATCCCATGAGATTTAATTTGAAAGATGGTAGAGGTTAAGGGTTTAACTATCGCAAGGTCACTGGCGTTCCTTCTAGGGTTAGGGTTACAGTTCCTTTTTGTAGAAAGTTGAACTGTTTGAAAATCCAAATGATAAATCTTTTATAAGGAAAAGTGTAATGCCTCTATATATGAGACGTCATTTGAAATATAACATCTCCTAGTTTTTGAAAATGTCCATACATTTTTTTCATGGGCTAAAATCAAAATTCCAAAGCCTCAATGGGTTGCCAATGACCTGGTGGACATTAAAGAAGTTAAATAAACAGAATAAGATGTGGCCCACAACTAATTGGGTGTTCTGTTTTTTTGTCCAGCAACCTTGAGGCTATTTGATTTTTACCTAAAAACCTCTGGACAGGAAACAAATGGCTCTTGGAGGCCTCATAAATAAAATATGTGGGATCCTTAAATATAAACTCATCTAAGCTGCTCGAACTGACTGAACTGAAACCAGATTGACTCTGGCCTTGCTACTGGCCTAACATACATTCCATATATACCTGTATGAAAATAGAAACATTAATTAGATACAACTTACATAAAAGCTTTTCTCTGAACATACAAATACTAGGGAAAAAGTGTGTGTGTTGGGAAGGAGAGAGGAAAAGGGCTGATTGTTCTACAAAGCCAAACAACTGCAAAAAACACCTTACAGTAAACAAAAGCATGTCTGAAATGCCACTGGCCCAGTCCAGCGTGTGTGTCTGCACGCCTCCACATATGGCATCAATTTTAAATGTTTGAGGAGGGCATGTGGGACTCCATTTAGAGTCCATGAAAAATAATCTTGTATCATCCATTTTTCAACACTGTCCAATGTAGCATCTGTGTGTGTGTTTTGTGTGTGTGCATTTGTGTATGTGATATCACAATATGTAGAACCTATTTTACAGTACCTGGGATCATTTCCACCTGGGCACAGGACGATGTGCCTTAAGGGCCTGGCAGGACATCAGAGATTACTTTCATTTTTCGACTGAAAATAAAAAGTAAGCAAAACTGAAGCTTTCATCAGGGCTTCAATTTAATACACTCAAGCTATACTTCTGAAACTGAATGGGCCAGGTGCAGCATTTATGCATTTCTTCAGGGTTTAAGTGGCTTGTGGCCAAATCGAAAATGTACCCGTTTAACTATTTTCATTTTGGCACAACAATTTGTCTTTACTCAGGCCTATATCATTTGTAGCTTATAATTCTTCGGGGGGGGGTGAGAACTGTGTTCAACATTGAACTTGAACCAATCATAGTGGCCCTTGGCTAGCTTTTATATACAGTGTATATTCTCATTTCGGTATGCCAAATGTTAAACTGTATTTAACAACTGTCAACTCAGAAAAAAACAAAAAGACTAAAGTTTGTTTAATAGCTCTATGTAAAACTAACTAGTTACTGTTTAACCTAAAGAGTAAAAGTGCTAACTTATGTCTTTAGTTGCCGAAGAATTTACAAGTCCAAAAACTGTAAGTTTTACAGGTCCTGGCAGATATCCCTTTAGGCAGATCTGGATGCTTCTCCCAAGTTTCAGTGTTTGCATCAGGCTTGCTAGCTACTGGCTGCTAATTTCACATTCAGACATTAATTAGTCTCCTCAATGAACTCTTGGCAAAGAAAGTCATGCTATTCATTCTCTAAAGTAAGTGTTCCTGAAAGAAGCACAAGTAAATTGTTGGATCATAAAAAATAAGGAGGGATAATGTCATTCAGGGAAAAAGGCCAGTTAATATTTTGTTACTCTATTTCAGTTATAAATTATATACATAGAACCAATATAGACAAAAGGTAAATGCATTAAATTCATTTTGCTTTTACTAGAATAACGATACATTTGGAATTGAAACTTCTCTCTAAAATAAACCTACAAGCCCCAAAAGTCTTCTACCAGTAAACTAAATAAAGAGCTAAATAAAGACCATTATTTGAGAATATAAAGTACAATTTTGGAAATATCCAATTTTTCCTTTAAGCCTAAGTAATGCATAAATTATATTAAAAACTCAAAGTCTATTTAAGTAAGAAAAAAACCCCCTTTTTTAAACTGGTGTGTTCTTGGAAAAAAGCAGCAGTACTCCAACCCCAATCTGTTTACTGCAACATACAAAATATGCCCAGGTAGTTTTAGATCAGTCTGCAGACATTATGCAGTTTTTATATAGTTGTTGTGTGCGAATATAGCCCAGCATTCATTAAAAACTCCCAAATCTTCTTGGCATGTACTGTAAACGGCATGTTCAAACAAAATAGTCATGTTCAACAAAACAGTCACTGACTCAATAAATAAGATTTTACCATACAACCACTGCCCCTGGCTGGAACCCATATTTAACAAGTAACAGCTGATGTGACCTGCTGTGAAAGAACAACTAGTTCCAATAAGAAGAAGAACAAGAAAACAACTATTCTCAAAAAGGGAACTAATTCTAGGGTACAACTAAAACTAATGTGCTACGAAATGAATGGTGAGCGTTGGTTTTTAAACATCTCCAGTGGTGAGAACTGTGTTCTGGGTTTGTTTCATCAAAGACTAAACAGCTCAGCATGCGGCGGTGTGATGGATGAGGTAATAAAGATAATGAAGGGAACTCTGAAGTTGCTTCTCTCGGTGCCGCACCCTTTCTAAAGAAGGCACTATGGGTGCTTCGCCATCTCCACGACCAAGAGTCAGCTCTGCAACCCCTGTTCCCAAATGTCTCTGAAGTCACAGCTGTCTGTTGTTTGGTTTCTGAGAGAGTCATAAGTGGGACTCATCCATTCAAGTTAATGCTGGCGGCTTGTTATTCTACTGCTGAGCGATTTATTCACGGTGGAGTGGCACTGCTCAAAGTATCATGGCCTTTACACTGTGCACCCGAGCACACGTGTATTTTTGAATACGTCATATCACTCCAGAGGCAGCATGTCCCTCACAAGTCCCACACAGCAGATCCACCTCATTTCTTCCCCTATGTTTAGCACTGACCTCAAATCACAAGCCGTGGTGCAAAGTGCCGCGGGCTGTTTCAGCAGTGCCCACACATCACGGCTTGAGACAGACTAGAGGTAGAGGTAGCTGACCCAGTACACAATGTTAAAGAGCAAGAACGAGGTGGGGAAGAAAACCCGGGAGTAGGCATCCAGCTCACGGATGTTGACGTGGATCCGTCCTTTCCTCCAGCCGCCTTCTTTACACTCCTCATAGCAGCAGAAGAAGCTCTTGCAGTCCTTTCCATCCAGGCACTCGTGCAGACAACTGTCATCATAGTCATGCCAGAACAAGGAGTTGCCCATGGGCATCATAGGCCGAGGGGTGGGACCCATGTTGAAAGACGAGTAGGCCTAGGATAAAAACGGAGAGAGAGAATAGGTGAATTAATTAAGACTTACGTAATCTATTCCCGAAGCAATGACTGTCACATCAAAATTACAAGCCACAGCTAGGCATAGAAAGTCCAGATCGTCAATGCGGCTAGCAATCTTAGGCTTTAGTTAGTCAACAAGTGTACCTGATGTTTGGCTTCTAATCTCAGTGCTAGTCCAGGTCCAACATCAACAGCCAATTTGTGATCTAGCTAACATCATTTTTGGGGGGCGGGGTCACACAACTCCATAATTCAGAGACATTTTAGAGGTACTTGAAGACATTTTTTGACACTAATATACAAGTAGGATGGCAGTGTCCTTGCAATAAGTAAAACTGATGGTTACCTAGTGAGTACAATTTTTCACATTCAGTGACCAACTGCAAGTAGTTGCGGCAGCCAAATTTTAATCGAAATGCAATTGCACAGGTTGCCTGGTGGGAGACAACCTGTCTCTACACAATCACAGTCAGACTAAGACTGACAGAATGGCAAAAGTTTGCATATAATTGACTACTAATGTATAAACATATACAGATTGTCAACATGCTGCAATCAGTTGGTCAGTCTGTGCTGATGAATGTTAACTGCATTAATAGACTGTGGTTAGCCCAGTCCATGGGCAAACTCTTTGCTATGTCAAAATGCAAGGTTGCCAAGCCCCTGTGTTATTTTTCTGTTAAAATTGTGTCCAGTAGCAACTATGTCACTATATGTGGAGAGATTTCTGAATGTCTTTTTCAAATCTATGAGGTTCAGGCTGGACTCTGAAGAAGTAGTAAATGTGACTTTCTGTTTAATGTTGATTTCTGAGAATACAGACAGCAACAAATTTGTGATAAACATATACTTTCTTGTAACTGCCAACTTGACCTTATTGCCATTTTATCATTGTCTTGAGGCACCAAACATACTTAGAAGACAATAGCTAACTGCAAGTATTTGCAAACCTTGTCACCCAAGATTATAAGTTCATTGCATACAGTTACAATAATTGTGGTTGGGCTGTGGGCTCCAACCACCTATAACTGTAGCATTACACATATCCTGGCTATGTTGCAAGCCTTTCTTTTTCTTTTAGGTGGTTAGTGAATGTTAGTAATTTTATGTCTTTATGCTAAAAATTGCAAAAACGAATGCTAAAATTACATTCTTCTTTCCACTTAAATACTTTAGGTTCAAAACTATTTCACATTTTGCCACGAGCCTGGGCTACTTCTTTGTAGGTCACCAACTATAGTAAAACGATGCAGATACTGACGTATATTATCATCATTAGCCTAATAAGCTAGTTGCACGACATAACAAGAAGTCTCGAGCACTGCCACTTCATAAAAAGCTCCATTGTTCAGATGATTGCTAATATTTTCAAGCAGTGCCCTTTTTGTTGTATTGCACTATATTTCATTAAAGTATTAAAGGAGAAATTGTGCCTTCAGTAAATTACCACACTCTGTATGATTTATAATTTCTCCAAAATAGAGAGATTATAAAGACACAAAGCCATGGCATATATTTATTGATGTATTTGAGTGCTTAAAAACTCCAACTTTCAGCACACAATTGATAAGCTGAATAGATTTTTGAGTGATGTGCCATTCTCATAGTTCTGCTGTTATTAGTTATAACAAAAAAAACAAAAAAACAGTACCAACAATAACATTTTGTGTAATCAATTTCTAACAGCACAAGGATTTCTGTGATGTTGAAATTAATGACAGTGTTCAATCATATTGTAAACCAAACAAGCTGATTTACAAAAGTACAAATGGCTAAGAAATATGTTTTGTTATTTTTTCTTTCACATAATGCAGCTTTAGAAAGAATCTTTGAGACCCCATTGCCAAATAAGTACCTCCTGAGAAAATTTGTTACATGACTCCTTCCCTGATGTTTATGAAATCATGCGAGGCCAACTAATTGGGTTAAAATCTTTTTTAAAAGGTTTCCCGTCCTCCACTACTCTGTTGAAGGAAGGGTGGTAGGCGAGAGAGAGGAATCGTTAGATGTGTCGTGTGGAGTAAGAGATTTGACGGAGTGGGCAGTACAAGGGAACGACACGAATGGTGGTGATTTGGGAGGGGGGGGCTTCCCCACAGACAGAGTGGGCCAGAATACAGTGAAGAGTCAGAGATGCAGAGGAGGGGACTGTATGTAACACAACTTAATTATTCAGCCTGAGCTGGCAGTCTGTTTTAGCCCTGAGACACATTCAGCAGAACTCCTCTACACTGGGAGAAAATAATGAATAGGGAGGGGATCTGGAGAGAGGGAAATGACAGCAACAGTGGCTGACTCAGTCTTAGTAGATGTGCGCCGACGCCATTAAAGCATTCGCGGCAGGTGCAGCCTTGAGAACGCCCACACAGAGTGGTAGGCTCTCATACAGGAGTGGCGGGTTGAAAAGAAATGCATTCAGCTGCACACATGTGCTAATACAGACATGTCAAACTCCTGGGTAGATATTGTGTATTTCCCATATATATATATATATATATATATATATATATATATAGATATATATATATAGGCACCCTATGGATCAAATCAATATCAGTTTTTGAAGGTTTGTGTGATTACAGCGAAGACAGTGAAAGAAAGTATTCAGTCGCGTTCTTTCCTCTTCAGACACCTTAACCACTTTACACCCACCGGGTCATCAGCAACCTGCTAGGGTTTCGTGTTTCATGCATGAATTTGGCATTACAGTTTTGTTTTTCAAAGCTTTTCCATTCGGGTGTTCCAAATAGGCAACAACTTTGTAAAAGGGCTAGACCGTAATCTGTCATTTCTAAACAGGTAACTGGAAATGTGGTTACAATGAAAACACAGATCTAAAAGGGAAACAAACTGATAAAAATATAGTCTGGTCACCTTTTTTCTACTTATGACAAGATGGAAACTGTGGAGATGTGCAGGAGTAGGAGTCCTAACAACAGAGTGAGGAAGAGGTGGAGAAAGGTGACAAGTAGAAGTAGAAGAAGAAGGCTGTAAGAAAATATATGGAGGGACATAATTAGGAAGGGAGAGATTCAATGATTCAGGTAAAGTAAATAGCTACTTTGACATTGAGCCACTGCAATAGCTAAACTTCAGCTTTTAATTATCACATGCTGTAGTGCAAACCAACTATTCTAACTCAACAACGACTGTACCAACCTGATTAAAACCTGTTTTAATACCAATAATCAAACAAAATGAAATATATACATAATGTGTATGTAAGAGCGATCATGGTGGGCTGTCTGGACTTAAACTGCCAGGGCTGAATTTATTGTTGCAGTCCAGCTCTGGTCCGTAGTCTGTCTTTATTTGTTTGTGGGTTTCTGTTCTTCTCGGCATCCCTTCTTCTCTTGCTATTGTTCATATGAAGGCTGGACCTAGCCTCTTTGGCTTCAGGTACCATTTTATAGTCTTAAGCAGTGTTTCCCAACCCTGTGGAACCACGGCACATAATTCACATTAGAAAAATGACACGGCACACCACCAAAAAAAAATGTCACAAAAAGCATATTGATACATTTTCCCCGGGCACCAGGTATAGTGGAATTGGCTCGGTTTGTCCCCAGTATACCTTTTTGGTTTCTTCTGACCACTACTCATGCTAGGGCCTTCATCTGGGTTGGAGTTTTCTCCAGGACCCAGATCAGATTGACTACTTTTTTCTTTTCAAATATTTAGTTATTGCTATTGCGCACTGTGTCGTTTCACAGCATGACTATTATGTCATTTCTTCTTCATCTTCGTCTGTTTTAATGGCAATTGGCTACCCAGTCCTTGTAGGAAGTGTAGTTCAACTGCCCTCTAGTGGAAGAGAATGTAATTGTTCTGCCGGTTGCTTAGACCAGCGGTCCCCAACCTTTTTTTGCGCCACGGACCGGTTTATGTCCGAAAATATTTTCACGGACCGGCCTTTAAGGTGTTGCGGATAAAAACAACAAAATAAAACCAGTGCCAGTACCATAAAAAATAAGATTTATTCATAACACAGGAAAAGACCCAGGGAAACCAAGTTAACGATAAAAAAGATGAAAAAAAAAAATCACAATAAAAAAACTATAAAAACCCTAAAAACAACAAATTTCACATCCACCTCAACTCTCATGGCCCGGTACCAAACGACTCACGGACCGGTACTGGTCCGTGGTCCGGGGGTTGGGGATCGCTTGTTTAGAGTACTAATCAGGTGGAACCAGGTAATCTTCCACGGCACACACGATCATTTCTTCGGCAAATACAGTGGTTGGGAAACAGTGGTCTTAAATTTGGGATTTTGGCTGCTACCACACAAAAAGCACTGCATTCTCATACAGTAGTATATATTTTGTTACCCTGTATTTATACATGTGCAATGACAATACAGTTAAATCCTAATCCTAATCCTAGTGACAAGCAGTGTTGGTCAAGTTACTTGAAAAAAGTAATCAGTAACTAATTACTGATTACTTCCCCAAAAAAGTAATCCGTTACTTTACTGATTACTTATTTTCAAAAGTAATTAATTACTTAGTTACTTTTTAAAAACACGATTTACAACCTGAATAGGTGATAAAGCGATAGATCTTTCAGCCCAATTCTACTTTTTCAACATAATCCATCATACAAAATGTAATCAAATGGAAAAGTCTCTTTTTAAAACTTGTTTTGTTAGTTTTAATCTTTTAATTTTATGTATCAAGCAAAAATTTAATTATATGCAACATTCACTGACTTGAATAAATTAGTTTAACGTTTAAACCTATTTTCTGCACATTCCAGCACATAATTTTTTTTTGTGTGTTTACACTCACTCTTTCAAATAGATGCACGTAAAACACAGCAGAAAATAAATAAAGTCAAAGACTAGCAGTCCTGTTGCTCTATTTTCACCTGTAAAGCAGGAGTAGGGCAGGCGGAGGTTTACCCTGGTGCAGGTGTGCGCGGCGGTCAGTGGAAGAATCCGCGAGTTTCTCTGTGAATTTCCTATTACGTCGTCGCGCACTCGGAGCTTGCTTGGAAGTTTAGGGGGTTTTTTCGCTGTAAAAAGAAGTTTTCTTCCCACGCACAACGGACGCTAATGTTTTTGTCACTTTTTATGGAATCTAACTCAAAGTAAGGTCAGTACTTCCACGCTTTAAACGCTGCACGCTCACACTCTCTCCCACAATCGATATATTATCCGTTGTTGATCTGCACACAGCTGTTGCCACGAACGGCGCACTCGCTTACGTCACTGTCATGAGACATTCTCGCAAAAAATCACGGTTTTAGTAACGCAGTAACGCAGCGTTCCTACGGGAAAGTAACGGTAATCTAATTACCATTTTTGCAATAGTAATCCCTTACTTTAGTCGTTACTTGAAAAAAGTAATCAGATTACAGTAACGCGTTACCACCCATCTCTGGTGACAAGTCCATCACAATATAGCTGTCCCCTAACATACCCTGGTTTATTGTCTGTTTTACTCTAAATGGGACCATAATTTACAAAATGAACCTCAGGTTGGATTGAATAAGACTTCAAGCGAGTGATTGAGACCATAAACCTACTGAAAAACTGCTTACAGAGCTCATAAATCAAGTGAAACATAGGCCTGTTTTCTCATAGCCTTCTATATAATCACACTCCTTTTTGCAAACAATAAGTCTGTTGGTTGTTAGAAAGAATGCAAGTTTGATGCACGCGGTCCTCCTTTTTGCTACTCATTACTCATACACTCACCACAGGCTTACCATTCTCTTCTTTGGGGGAGGTCTGCGTATACTGTAGGAGTAGTAGTTGAGCATGGCGTACTCAATCATGGCAGCGAAGACAAACATGAAGCAGACGGTGACAAACAGGTCCATGGCGGTTACGTAGGACACTCTAGGAATAGAGTTTCTGGCCACTGTGCTCAGCGTGGTCATGGTCAGCACTGTGGTGATTCCTGCAAAAGTAACAGAAGCATGAGGATAGGAAGGAGAGTCACTTCACAAAGCATGCACGATGAATTGCTGGTCAGCAGTAGGATGACCCATGTGGATGTCAGTGATTATGTAACATGTGAGCAGCACTTTATTAATCGCTATTAATAATGCACATGGGGTATTCTGGGTAGATGTCCCCAGTCTTGCATCAATCCTTTCTATTAAACACCCACAGCGGGATACGTTTTGAGGGTGGTGCAGCAGAGTGGTCGTAATTATCAAATGATTCAATGTAATTTTTCTTTTTATTCTCTCTCGTTCCACTTACGATCAAAATGATGTTTCAAAAAGAGATCTGTGGGTTAAGCACTTCTATTACACAGAGGCTTATGAGGCGGATCCTGAGTTGTCTCTGGAGTGGTGCAAGTAGTGCAGCCACAACTCAGCAAGCACATTCCTGTTTTTGTTATTTCTGTATATCTGCAAAGGAATGTGATTCGGGACCAATCGGATAAATAGTTGTTAAGATGGCCAAAAAAGAGTGACACACATGGAGATTCCTTGCAAATACCTTGTTTGCATGGGGAATACAGTATATTTAAGAAAACAACTACTAAAAATAAAAAGAATCCTGTTTTTTTAGTAAAAAAAAACCAAAAAAAACAGCAAAAAGTACAGTTTATTTAAATTCTACATTTTTTTTAAACATTTCTTTCTATCCTGTTTACCTTTTGTACCAAAATGACTCATCACTATTCTGATATTTTATTTTTATGCTTTTTTATTGGTCATATCCAATAATTCACTCATTCAGCCAAAGTTGAACTGTCCTGATGTAGTCCTGTCTCTTTATAAACAACCAAATATCAGTTTTCGGCTTCAACAGCAAACACCGAATATGCTCTCAAATACATTATCATTGATTATATCAGTGATGTGTTCACTGACAATGTTTTCCCATCAAAAACTCTGCACTTTTCACAGTTGTGTTCAGACACTGGAAACACTTTACTTCAGGTCAGGAAAAAAAACAGCTTCTCCGACCTAAACCTAAACCTGAAGTTGCATCTGAACTTAATCCAGAGCGTAAACCCAAGTCTAAAAAGCTTTGTAGTTGCATATAATCATCATTTTGATGACTGTGTTGAGGTCAGTGAAGTGAATGATTTAATTAGCCATGGTTGCTACTTCCTTTTGGACTTTTCTCTCTGACATGATCTTAGTTCGGGCCTCGTGTTCAGCCAGTGATGATGGTGATAATGGTTTTGTTCTCTTGCTTTCATTGCAGGGTCTCCTGCAGATGCAAAGTCTTCTTTGCCTCTTCTTTTGAAAGCTCATCCGCGATGTTGCTGCTTTCCTGTTTTTGCTCCTCCATGACTTTATGTAAACCAAAGCCTCATGCTTAAAAGTATGAGGCTTTGGTTCTTGGTCCAAATTCAGTGGCGTTTAATTTTTTTTTTCAAAGAAGGGTCTCATTGGTGCAGAGCTTAACTTTTAAGCTCAGTAACTTCACAGCTGGACCTCTGCTGCTCTTTCAGGTGTCGCTGTTCCTTCCCTGGATGAGCAGATCAGCCTGTCTGTGTGTGAAGTCTCAGTGGTTTAGGTTGAAGACTGCACACACAGCTCTGCAGCACTTCTTTCTTCCTGCAGGTCTTGGATAATCTTGTCTGGTTTAGCAGTTGTATGATTATTATCTGTGTTAGCTGTGTTGTTCTCTTCAGTACCCACATTTGAGGTTCTCCACTGTTTTAGACTTGGACTTATGACTGAAAGCCTCTTCCAGCTGCTCCTGGCTGCATGTAAAGCCAATCCAGCTGAGTCTTGGAGTCTGAAGTTCTGCTGTTTGCAGATACCAGTCTGGTATAACTGGTATCTGCGGATGTCCTACATTAGGTATCTGAGAGCACTGACCTCTCTTGTATCATATGGGACTCTGTCCTGATTGGGTCTCAAAGTGGGATTGGCCTGGTGATACCAAGTCCCCGTATTAAGCACAGGGTTACCTCTTATTGTCACGGCGAGTGAGAGGAGCCGTGCGGAGGAGGAAAAGGAGGATCCACACGCAGGCAGTCGTGAAGGTGTAAAAGGTGATTTATTGAACACAAAAGGAGAGGCAAACGGCAACACGGAGAACTAAACTATACTGGGAAACAACTAAAACTACAAAGCACAAACCTGAATGAGAACGAGCAGAGGAGAATGACGATGGACAGCAGGGAGAGCACACGGATGTGACATGGTAGATACACAGATGACGCAGGGTGGAATACACAGACGGACCAGCAACAACAATGACGGAAGACATGACTTAAATACACAGAGAACCACAGGGGAATTACACACAGGTGGTGGGGAATAATCAACAAGACTAGGCAAAGGTAAAACTGAACACACTCACATGAGACGCAGACCTTCACAATAAAACAGGAAACAAAACACACTTTACTAAGACACAGACTAGACAGAGACAGACTTGAAATGACATATGAAACTAAACCCACATCTTAAACCCAGATAAACAGAAACATGGAACTCTAATAATAGACAAACATTACCATAACACGACAAGAGAACAAGAACACAATCCCTGATGCAAACTTAAATCAAAACACAATAAACTCAAAATACTGGGTCCAACAGACCCAGACCGTGACACTTATGACCCCTGCATTTTCCTCCATATGCGTTTGCACTTTGGCTATTGTAGCATCTCCGTATATTATGTTTTTTGGAAGAATTCCATTTTTCTTTTAAAACAAAAGACCAACTAAAAATAAAGTCTTTTATTTTGAAGTATATGCTAAATTAGCGATATGAGGGCCAACTCTGTCAGATAACAGCAGTAAACACTATATAAAAACAGCTCATTAAATATTTAAAATTTAAGGTTTATTAAAACAATAACAACCTTCTTCTGGAAATGTAATTATTCATTTATTTTTGGCCAATTTGTTAATGCAGTTAAAATAGAAAAATCTGTCCCCCCACAACCTTACCTACTTTGGGAATTTGAACCCATATCTAGGGAGACTAAGATTAGCCCTTTTTCTGTATACATCAATGCTAACACAATAAGGCACAAGGGGACATAGGCTATGACTAACATGGTGTAGTTGCTTCATATTTTTATGACTGGACAATTTGAAAACTCACTTTTATCCATCCATCCATCTTCTGCTTACTGTATCTGCTAGTGTATCTAGAGGCAGGGCACACCCTGGACAGGTCGCCAGCCTGTCACATATGTCATGGTCCTGGGTCGTGCGACCCAGTGTTTTGTGTTTAGTCTATTTTGATGTTTATTGTTTGTTTAGGTTCATTAAGTTATTCCAGCTCATTTGTAATTATATTACCCTTGTATTAAGCCTCCCTTGCCCTTCATGTGTTTATGTCTGTGTGTCTTGTGTTGTCAAGTTCATGCTGTCACGTCTGTCATCTTCCCCTGTACTCCGTCTACCTGCTTCGTGCGTCTACCTGTCAAAAGTCATGTTTGCATGGTTATGTTTAGTTCATGTCATGTCTAATCTTCATGTTTCCTGTTTTACTTTGAAAGTCTGTATTCAATGTCAGTGTATTTAGTTTCACCTCTCCTGTCCTGTCGTTAGGTTCATGTGTGTCAGCTGTGCTCCCATGTGTGGCCACTTCCCTTGATCATCCCTCATGTGTATTTAGTCTCTGTGTTTCATGTAGTCTGTGTCGCGTCGTCTGTGTTCCCACCCTCCGTGTTTCCATGCCCAGTCTTTTGTATTCCAAGCCATAGCCTTACCATAGTTATGTTTCTGTTTAGTTACATCTCTTGTGCTGCCCTCATTCTTGTTTGTTTCTTTTGTGTTCATCAGCCACAATAAAAGGCTCGCTTTTGTTTAAAGTTCACTCCCGTATCCTCACTTGTGTCTGCACCTGAGTCCTCCTCACACTCTCCACACGGTCCGCAGTGGCAGACCGTGACAACATGGCTGTAAATGTTGTGTAAATGTTAAAAATAATAGCTGCTCTTCGTTTCCAAATTCCTCAAATTAACAAGAAACTACTAGAGATGGGGAAAGTAGTGGGACCTGAACATTCACAAAGAGAAGTTTTGGAAATATGGAATAAGATTTTTAAAAAGCTTTCTTTGATTTTGTTGTGATAAATATACGATAGGTTTTAGGCCATACAACCTTGGGGGTTCTATAAAGTGTTAACTATTGACTGGTAAAAAAAATTTTTATAAACCTGTCAAAAGCAGGCATTTTTTTCAACAGTCTGTTATACTGTTTTTCCCCTGAAATTCAAATTCGTTTTTGAGCTATTGACCCACTCAACCACAAAATATAAAAATAGCTGCCACTTTCAGTTATATAACAGCAGCAGTGGCAGAGAACATAATGCTGCTGTTGAGTGAAAACATCGGCATAGTTGTGCAATGCTGAGCATAATGAGTGCCTGTCTTTGTGTAGCCTGACCAGAGCGTGCTAATCTTTGCTAGCACAGGTCCACAGTGGCACCACGTGTCTCATGCAGGTCTGAAATGTAAACTGTAATTCTACAAATTCTAATAATAATATACTGTTGTGTGGTCACTACAGCCATAACACATTAATAATGCCTGAGATCAGATTACCAGAGATCAGAGAACTGACAGACACTCTCTGTTATGTAAAGACATCAAAGACACACCTGCGCAGATATACAGCAACATGGATAATGAATCATAAATGGACATAAATAATTAGGCTCTCTTCTATATTATATAAAAACATGGTTACAACCGGGATATTACTTAACAGCCACAGTGTCTGTCAAATAAATAAATAGGTTACTGAACAAAAATGACTATTCACAAGATACTTATGCGTTAATAATTAAGTAGTAGCAAAACGTGATGGCATTGATCTCAATCAATATTACTGCTGCAATGTTGACATCAGTCAGTGTCTAAGGAAATAAGACCTATGAGTCAAAATAATTATGAAGAAGTCAAAATTTAAACACAAAGTCTGTATGGTTAAATAAAAAAGTTAATTTGGAGAAAACAAAG